TATGTACGAGGGTGGTCCGAAAAGTACTTAGCCTCCAAAAAAAAAATGAAAATTTTGGAAAAGTGGCGACTTATTTCTCAACATAATCTGCTTATAGCTCGATACACTTGACATAGCGATGCTCCAAGTTCTTTAAACCGTCTGCAAAATACGTTTTCTCGAGGTCTGCAAAATAGGCCATTCGACGCAAATTTCTGTCCAGCGAGTGACTTTTTCCAGTTTGGAAACAAAAAGAAGTCACACGGGGCCAAATCTGGAGAATATGGTGGATTGGGTAGCAGTTCGTAACCCAATTCGACCAATTTGGCCTTGGCGAGGGCGGAAGTGTGATCCGGTGCGTTGTCATGATGGAAGAGCACTTTTTTCTTCGCCAAATGGGGCCGTATTTTCTGCAATTCGGCGGCGAATCGGCCCGATAATTCGGCATAGCACAGCCCTGTGACCGTTTTGCCCTTCTCCAGGTAGTCGATGTAGATCACACCTTGTGAATCCCAAAAAACGGTGGCCATCACCTTTCCGGCCGATGGGACAGTCTTCGCCTTCTTCGGAGCAGGTTCGCCGGGTGAAGTCCGCTGTTTCGACTGTTCCTTGGTCTCTCGTGTGTACCAGTGGATCCATGTTTCGTCGACGTTCACGAAACGACGCAAACGACGACTCCTTCGGATTGCGCTTGAACAGCGTCAAGCACTGCTCTGCTCATCGCGCCGACAGCTTTCTCATGCCCAAAATTTCATGCAAGATATGACCCACGCGTTTTTTTGACATGCCTACTGTCTCAGCTACCTCGAGTATCTTCAATCGGCGATCTGCCAATACGAGATCGTGGATTTTTGTCACGTTATCCTCCGTGGTAGCCGTTTTCGGGGCACCTGGGCGTGACTTAATAAAAACCGACGTGCGACCACGTTGAAACTCATTAAACCAATTTTTGACGGTCGGCATCGAAGGAGAAGAGTCACCGTCCAAAAACAGAAATCAAATCACAGACCGATATTGTTCTTTCTCCATTTTCCTATAATCCACGGACACGTCCGATTCCACACGCAGTCAAAACTACGAGTCCGATTCGGCTGGAATTTCGACAGTAGCCGTCTACGAGAATGTACTACACGATTGTAAATTTCTCTAATGGCGAAGTATGTTTGCCATTAAAGTTTTATTGCGATTAAGAATTACAAAGTTTATTAATATTATCAAGACACGTGTGTCACTCGCTGATCCTTGCCGATATATCCCCTGAGTGTTGCCACACCATTCTTTTAAGTCGGCTGGCAAGACATATTAGGTTGCCACACTCTTGCGTTAGTGACGCCATCGGGCGGTGAGGCTAAGTACTTATCGGACTGCCCATTATTGTTACAAAATAATTTTTTAGTTAAGTTATAGAAATTAAGATCGTTAAAATTGATTTAAATATTTAAAACATTTTAATATTAACATTTTAAAAAATTTGTATTGTATTTATTACTCAAGTAAAAATTATACTGTCGGACATTTTTCGCTTTAGAAAGGTGCAGTGGCACGCGCCAACAGCGAAGAGAATCAAGTAAAGAGGTGAGAGGAAGACTTGGTGCATTCTGTTTGAGTGATTGAAAGGGAAGCATCCATTTAAACTGTGCGCAGCAGAGTTACTTTGATCGTTTGTTTCGTGTGTGCATAAACACCGTTTCATTAATTCGACAACACACGAAAGTCGCCTATGAATTCAACCTCAAAGCGTGAAATGGTAACAATTAAACTGCGGTAACTCTATATAATTATCGGTTTTGCCAGATCGATATAAATACACCTTACATTTAATAAATTATTTTTTCATTCCGTGCCAATGGAAACTAGTTTTCATCTCTTATTTTGAAGGTAGAAAAAATACTGACTTGCAAACACTTTATCTCTAATACTAGCAAGGTTATTTCATGAAATGCATGAATTCGGCCGTGGATTCGTAAGAATCGGGCAAATGTTTAAGAAAGGCGATGTCCAATGTAAAAAGCAAATTAACGTAATATAAAACTAGGCTTACTAACAATAATTGTCTTTAACAGAAAACCTAAATAACACTATTTAATTAAAATGAATTCAAAAGTAAATAAAAATGTATGTATTTTAAATTCAATATTTTGAAGGTGAAAACTTTCTGAAATATTCTGAATTTCAAAAATGATTTCACTTGGGACGCGTCACTTGTAAGTGATTTCATATATTTCGAAATATTCTGAATTTCACAAGTGATTTCAGGTGGGACGTGTCACCGGTAGGTGACAGGCCATTCGAAAAGTGAGTATAAGAAGCAAGTAATACCCCGAGGGACATCGAAAAATTTGTTTGTTTATATGGAGTATTACTTGTTCTTCTATCGTTCAAGGGGACATGTCCCGCGGTAATAACAAGGTGATTCACAAGTGAAACTTTTTTTTTTGGAACGGAAGAGGAATGATTCGCATTCTTAAATCAACGAACTTGATAATAAAATTAAAGCTCTGGAGCTCTTATAACTTTCAGAGCCTTCAGCTAATTTTTGTGAATTAAAATCTAAACATAAATTCAAAGCCCCGTTATCCAAAGCCTGCCAATGAAACTATACGTGGCTGCTGCTGATGTCTCTTCTGCGGTTATTGACCAATATATTTACCCTCCTGATATTGAGACAGGAAATTGTATCGAAACCCAATAAACATGTCGGATTGGCGCCTACTGCCGAAGATCTTTACATATTGCCAGACAAGGAGTTTGTACATGTTGAAAAGTTCGCTTCAGCGAAAAAATATGTGTCGTCTAAGATTAATGTGGAGGCTAGTTCGTTTACATGCGTTAAGCTTGTAAAAAAATACGGTGACGTTACAATGTAAATTTCAGGCTTGGCATTCCCAATCAGTTTTATGAATAAGTTTTGGCAGAACTCAGTTCAGGTGAAGAGATTTATTCAAAGAGAGCGGGCCAACGTGGTGGGGTTTGGAGTCATAGCTAATTGGCCGGAGCCTGGACAAACTTCAATCTCAACCCTTTCATCAAAAAAACCCCACAGGCTTCGACACTCTTGCGGAATTTATTCCTGTCCTCACTTTGCTATTGCGTTTCTACAAAAACACCGGCTGCTATTCCGTCCTCTCCCGACGCTGCAACAACTACCTAAGTCAGAGATTTTTTCTGTCCGATTTGTGCGTCATTCTCTGTTCACTGGCGCACTCATCGTGTTTCGCCATACTTCCTATGCACCAAGAACATCGGCTTTCTCTTCGCCTGCTGGGTATGCGCTTTCCTTTATGCCGTTTCGGGGTTGAACTTTCTTCAACAACTTTTTTCGAAGCTTCTGGCTGGATGTCGAGCGTCTTGGTGCGCTCTCTTTACGGCGCTCCCTGGAGATGCTGTCGCCATCAACAACAACAGCTGTTTTCGGCAGCTATTGTACTTTCTCGCTCATTGTTATCAGGCCGTATTCGCCTGCCTGCAGTTCTATTGTGAATGCTAATGATGATGATTACCCACTTAATATTTGGAGCAATGATCAACAGCTAATCCGTACTTTAACACTACTTAGGGTGTAGTATGGACTTATATTAAATATCTACTGAACCAAGAGTACTTGAATAACACACACTGTAACACTTTGTTGCAGTGTTTACACAAACAAAGGCTCGGTCAAAAACCTAAGTGGCCGAAACATGAGTCGATCGGCGGCGTACACAGAAAGTGCAAGTGTCAACATTCTGTTGCACACGCCGGCCGCTCAGCCAAAGTCAAGTACATACATATACCTCCGCGCTCCAGACAAAGTGAGCAATGCTGTATACTTAAGAATATATAGGCCGTCTCTCCGCTGCCGCTGTTGGCAGCGCCGCTATGAGACTTAGACCTCCTTAGCTCCTAAGTAAATTAAGTTTCAAAAATAAACTCTTTTGAGCTCAGAGCGGCAACAACGGATGCTCTGCTCCGAATAAAATACAAATAAAAATCATCCAAATGGATATCTAACCTAAATAAATTGGACTTATATTATTTGGGCTTTATGGAAAATCTTACTCGTTTAAACATATTACAAGGGTTCTTACAAAAAGTTTTGTTAATTATGATACGAATTCTGGAATTCTTTCAAAATGAATTCAACAATACCATTCTATACCATGTTTTCTGCAAATATAGAGATGCTGTTAGTCGTTTGGTAAGCACAAGAGTTTATATATTACTGAGATTGAAATTGACATGCAATTTAGTCCAGATGTAACGCTAAGTCCTGCCAACTCAAGAAAAACGAAACGGAACCGTACTTTTTGCCCGCAGTAGTACATCTTTCTTTCTTACAAGATCGCAGAACCACACATGCTCTAATTTTCATTTTGCCTAGCAGCACTAATTTATCAGTGACTAATAGGACTTCTAAGCAATTCTTAGATTGTTTCTCGCAGTTCTCATACAAAAAGGTATGAAAGCAGGGTAGAGTGGGGTAAGGCTAGTTAAGGTGCAAGAATAGTTCGTGACTCTAACGGGTAAACGGATAGTTAAAAAAGAACTTCATTTTTAATGAAGGTACCTTAGAACACTAGAGGGTGAGTTGAAAAAGTTTAAAAATAATTTCTGTCAATGTCACATTTGAAAAAATAGTTTTATTCGGTTCGAGACACTTTATTGGACATTCGTCGTTCGGGAGATTTTTTAAGGTGTTTTCTGATGCGATATTTCGAGCCAAATGGGTAATTTTTTTTGTGCTCTTCATTTTTGCTGATATTTTGTATTTTGAGTTGAGCATCAAAAATGAATTAGAATGATAAAAAGCCATCATTGAAACTAAACTATTACCAGACACAGGATCAAAAAGATTCGAAAATTACCATGGTCATTCCAAACTATTTAGTAACAACAATTAGACGGGCTTAGCGTTATGGACGTTTTTTGGACTTAGAGTGGACGTGGCAGACTGTTTAATAAAACCTATATTTCTGAACAGGATCAGGCTATTATTATATTGAACATGATTTTATATTATTCTGAGTAATAAATGAACTTACTTTTGTCGAATCCTCTTGCATTTTAGTATGTTCGGCTATAAAGCGCACACAAAAGCAGCTTTTGTGAATTTTTGGGAGGCATTTCGAGTGAGAAAATGCGGGGTTGCTTAATATGGGACTTTTTATCCCTAAACTACCGATATCCATATCGGGGACGGCTGCTATTTCGTCAGAGCTACAATGAGTGAGTGGCGGCACGGAACCATGCACTCGACAGCTTCCACCAAAGGGTCCATTGGCTGTTAAGCTAAAAATGAAAAAAGAGATTTTGATAACATTTTTTGTTTAAGAAGCATTGTGCAAAAGCGTTTTTGAAATGAGAAAAAATACACGGGGGAGGGTGGTGTATGTGTGGCTTAATCGAGGAATGTTTTAGTGCCGTCAAGGGATTGGAAGTTTTTAAGCCACCTAGCGCGATAACAATATTTAGTCATGACTTCTTAATGAATGGTCCAATTTAAACATTCCCATTTTCACTGTTACAAAATCTTTAAATTTTTTGTGTTATAGACGTTAAAGTGGGCAAGTTTTTTTTTAGGTTAATGAATAAGTAGTTTTAAAAAGAGGATTCTGACACAAGTGGCATACTAATGGCCCTTGCCCCGTATGCGGTTATTTAACATAATTGTTCGGCTCATTAACTAGAACATTCAATAGAGGCTTAAAAAGAAAACTTTTCAGATTAAATTCGTCGGTCCGCGTAGTCCTCTCTTGAAGTATTTAAAAAAACCAAAAAATACCAAAATTGCCAATCGATTTCTCATTAGTTGCTTATCGGAGTTAAGTTATCACTGTCTTGTCCTAACTGATTTATATTTATTGTACTTTAGTTAAAATTCCCACCCACTATTAACCCCCTATTTTTACACAAGTGCAACAGATACATAGGCAGTGCTGTTGTAGGCTTTGCAAACTTTTCATATGGAAATTGTTGTTGGAGCTGCATACAATTTTAATTACATTTCAATCGTTTGCAACGCTAATTTTCCCAGATATGAGATACTTTTGTTTTCGTCATAGAATCCTTAACTGGACGGAGTTATAAACATTGAGAACCACAATAGTCATATACCTATTTAACCAAAAAAACTAATTGTTGTAATTTGTTATTTCCTGGCCAGCATACGCGTAAAAAAGCACAAACTAGACCCAAGGTGCACGATCACTGATAGCATCATACATCTCACACAAGACCCCAGGCTCACGACCATTGAAAAGGGATGAAATCAGGACGGTGTATAATCTCTCAAGAAGCCGTCATACTACTGTGGGCATAAAGTAAGGATAACTTTATTTTTTTTGGATTGTGTGATTTGTTGCACTTTGAATTCTGCGCTATGCGTCGATTGCGTGAAGCAATTCGTCTAAAAAGACTCGAATTATTGGCCATAAGAGCTCTGCGTTTTTGCATCACAATAATGCACCGATTCTCGTGACCATTTCGCCAAAAATTTGACGTACACATAGCGTTCCGCAACCACCTTATTTGCCTGACTTGGCTCTGCGTGACTTCTGGCTTTTCCCAAAACTAAAGAGACCACTCCGGGAAACGCGTTTCGGGTCGATTGAAAAGATAAAAGCTGAACCGAAGAAGGCACTGATGGCTCTACAGGGAAGGACTGGAAAAAACGTTGGCATAGGTGTATTTTATCGAGAAGGGATAACTTTGATGGTGATGAAATAAATAAAGATTTTTCATTTTACAAACAAATTCACCTTACTTCTTGCCCACAGTAGTATGTACCTTCTTATATAAAATATATTTCATTCTCCCGTACCTGCAATTTAAATTACAATTAAAAAATCAGAGGCAGATTTTATAGCATAAAATAGTGTTTATTGCTTTATTTTATTACTGTGAACATGTTTTCTTATATATATATTAATAAATAAATTAATTTTCTGGCTCCATTTCGGTGAACTCTCACCAAGATTATTCTGCGCTTGAAACGCAGAATTCCACATGTCCCCCACAGAGACATGTTAATGTTTCTCAGATGTTGGAATATTTTCAAAACATTTATTTGTTTCCTCCCCCAGAACCTTTGAATCCGAGAAAACATTATTAGCCTCATAAATCAAGGACATATGTAATTAAGTGTTCAAGGCATATGTTTCAAAAGGGAAAAATTAGATAGCGCTCCGTTGGTTAATTTTTCTTGTTTATAAAGCTGAGAGTAAATTAAGAACAAAACTAAACTTCAAAATTAAAATTTTTTTGCTAATATTAAATTTATATGTAAACCATTTCTATAAAATAATTTAAACAAATTGCCATTAGAGCATGCTTCGAAGGCAGACTTGCCATATATAGCAGTGTATTTTTATTACACTTATCAGTCTTTAATTACTTTGCTCATCTTGTTTACCTGATTCATTTTAATGGTAGAGCTGCTTGTACCTGGTTCTTTGTTTCTAGTTGATAACTAATTGTTATACCCGCTACTCGTAGAATAAAAGGGTGTTCTAAAAGAAAATGTTTCCGACCGCATAAAGTATATATATTCTTAATCAGGATCAATAGCCGGAGTCGATCTTGCCATGTCCGTCTGTCCGCTTGTACGTCTGTCCGTCTGTCCGTCCGTCCGGATGAACGCAGAGAACTCGGAAACTATAAAAGCTAGGCTATTGGCATGCAGATTTCTGAGCTTTATACGCTTCTTAAGTTTATTTCAACAGGGTGCCACGCCCACTGCTAGAATACAAATTTTAACTCAAATTTATTGTTCTCATCAAGTTTGCCACGCCCATTCAACACCCACAAAATTCAAAAAATCGTAAGTATGAACGCGGATATCTCGCAAACTATCAAAGATAGAGAATTGGGATTTCAGATCTAGATTCCGTAGCCTTTTACGCAGCGCAAGTTTGTTACGCGAATATGCGACGGCTACTCTGCCGCCCACGATTGATCCAAAAAAAAGCCCACTCTAACGCCCATAACGCTTTAATCAGTCTACCTCCCACATATCCATATATTGAGATCGCGGGTAGGGGGCGCATGTCAATTTCGCTTTGCTGCTTGCATATTTCCATTTCCCTTTGGTCCATTAAGCTGAGTAACGGGTATCTGATAGTCGAAGTACTCGACTATAGCGTTCTTGTTTTATATTGTTCACCAGCTGAATTCTAGTTTTCATTAGCTGTTTGGAAGCTGTAATACTCGTAAGTAGTTGTTTGTTTTGATAAGCAATCCCGATAACTTACAAACACATGTGTCCCCCGAAAATAAGATTTTAGAACATCGTGTTAGTTTCATACACTTAGACAAGTGTAATGTAAAACAAGGAAGAACGCTAAAGTTGAGTAACTCGACTATCGGATACCCGTTACTCAGCTAAAGGGACCAAAGGGAAATGGAGATATGCAAGCAGCAAAGCGAGATTAAAAGCATTATGGGCGTTAGAGTGGGCGTGGCAAATTTTTTTTTGGATCAATTATTTAGCAAGAAAATTGTGGGCGCCCCAGGCTTGGACGGTTTGTGGGCGTTTGAGTGGGCGTGGCAAACTTTCTTTTGGATCAATCGATAGGTATTGATGAGAACAATACATTTCAGTTAAAATTTTTATTCTAGCATCAAAACTGTAGGAGCCACAGTTTTGGGTGGTTTGTGGGCGTTAGAGTGGGCGTGGCACTCTGCTGAAACAAACTTGCGCTGCGTAAGAACCTCAGGAATCTGCACGCTAAATCTATGGGGTCGGAAACGCTTCCTTCTTCCTGTTACATACTTTCCGACGAATCTAGTATACCCTTTTACTCTACGAGTAACGGTTATAAAAACGTTCACTATTTCTTACTCTTTCGTCTTAAGCAGGTATTATCCTTAACTTTCACACCATAGTTATTAACTACAATACAAAGTGTAAGAAGATAAAATAACATCATTGTCATATAGCGATTTTCAATTATCTATAATCAAAAAAGCAACAACAACAAAACACAATGGGCCTTTGCAAAAACCTATCACCAAAACAACTGTGTGTACCCCACACCTAAATTATCTTTTTTATCCTTTGTCATAAAATGTCTGCAACTTTTACTCATATCTTTGTCATCCATAATTTAAATCTCATTCCACCTATTGTAAGCCACCTATAGCTCATCGTATCATAATCCCAGAGGAAAGATGGCTATCAACAATACACAAGGTGATGGTGTGAAGGGTTGCTAAAATGCCACGACCCAAACGAAAAGTCAATTTAATAGACAAAATTCTGTGAACATTGCTCTTGCATGAAAAAAGAGTTCTAACAAATGTAAGTAGCATTACAGACTCAAAACTTATACAAAGAGTAAGCAATACATTTCTCACCGACACAAACATAATTTAAAACCTTGGTAATGCGGGTTTGTCAAGTATCTATAATTGGGAGAGGATTTTACAATCTTACTTCTTTAAAAATGATAAAAAGCAAAGCATTGAGCTTATCCAAATTCGATTGCCAAACAAGTTGTGTGTACCCACACCTTATTGATCTATTATATCCTTTGCCAAAAAATGTCTACGATACTTACTTATAAATTTGTCACCCAATTGTTATATCTTATTAAAGAGGTAGATCTTGTGTATAGTTAAAAAAGGACAAATTGGGGGAAGTCTATCCCTGCATGAAAAAAGTCGTACACAACATAATATCTACCTTAACTTTCTCACCAGCACAACAGCAAATAACTGTCACGCAAAATCGCAAATTTGATTTAGTAAAAAGAATTCATGTTAAAATTTTTGAGAATTTACCAGTTAGTTAAACTCAAGTTTTGAGTTTCAACCGGATAAAGGAACAAAAACAGAAAGTCTATCGTTTTCCAATACGTCCTTCAATTCGCAGAATGAATAGCGAAATTTAAGAGTTCCTTCAATTGAACCAATCATTTATAGAACTTTTAATAAGATGAACAAAAATTGAAAAACATGTATAAAGATATATATGTAGGATCGCCGGTGATTGGTTCAAAGATAATCTTAACAATTACGTTTAATGACTTTGACAGAAAGCAAAAGCGAGTACTCGGTGCGACGATTCTTTTCGTGCGGTATCGAATATAATATTTTGACAGAGTTGTAAGCGATAATTTTACTTTAACAGATTTGAATATACCTTAATAACCTTAAATAAGTTGTTGACATGACCACTCCTTGTCTTCTTTTCCTTTCCCACAATCGGCCATCCTGAATCAACATTCGGCTCGAATGATGGTTCTTCTGCAGAGTCTGACTGAGGATTCCATTTCTTCATATATTCAGCG